ATTTTTACGTTTGAAAGTGTTTAAAAGTTATTTTAAAACACACTGTGGGGGCCGTGTTTGAAGCAGATTTAGTCTGGTCCAGATATTTTTGGGGCACACAGGTGTACCTAGTAAAATTGCATGTCAGATATGAGAGTGAGATTGTTTTACTCTTTGATTTTTTTCAGTGCTACATTTAGGTGGTTACTTTGCTTTCTAGTATTTTTGAGCTCTCACAACTTCACAAGTACAGATGTTAGTCACATAGATTTCAAAGCCTTAAAAACACATTTAATCAATTAACAATTTAAAAGTGCAACCAAATCAAATTTTGATCAATTCACATTGTTCCAAATATATTATATTTTCAGTATCAAACCTTCACCAGTTTTACGTTTCTAGCATAGATTACGAGAAACAAGCACCAGTACTGGGTGTCATGTCTGTTTTGCACCAATTAACAGGAGAAAACTTCAATAAGTGCGTTTTGGTTACATTAAAATTCACTAAATAAACATACAATATTGGTTTTCAGATGATCTGAAACAAGAAGTTTCGTGTTTGAGCATTAAAAAAAATATATCGTCTTCTGCGAACAATAAAAACCAGAGTACAAGTGTTAAAATACAGTTAAAAATACAGGTCAAAATTCATTTTAAAAATCCAAACACAAGTCTTCAATGTATTTATTAATGTTCAAACCTGCACTGTAATATACTCTGCAAGACTAGAGGACATAGCAACAACTGCTATAGTACAGTCAGGATCATCTGAAGTAATTGCTTGAGCAGTAGAGTTTATCTTAACCTCCTAAGACCTGAACTCTTTCATGGCATGCATTTTTGATTTCTCTTTGCTATTTTGGCTGATTGGGACCTGATGAAATTTTTACCTGATTTTTGTTTCTGAGAAAAATGAGATCCACACTTGAGGACATTCGCTTTAAATTTTGATAAAACAGTGGCAGTATAATGTCCTCGTAAGTGAATATCAGGCCCTTGTAGAGCAAAATTTAGTATTTTGGTCTACACAACCCAAAATGTGATGTCCACATATGTGGACGCCAGGTCCTAGGAGGTTAATGGCGTTTCACATATCCAGTGTAAATTATGCCTGTTGCAATGTCCATCAAAACGAGTCTTCCAGGGATTAAAGATGGAGGAAACTGCAACCCCGCAATCCTCTTTTCCGTGGTTATTGGGTTCGCCATCCATCCAGTACCTGAGAAAAATTATAGTTCATTTAAAAATATGTTTAATGAATTATCAAACAAGAAAAATATTGTTTCAGCTCTCACCGTTGCTCGACCTCTGTGACATTATTAATCCAAACCCATCTGTTCTCAGTCTCTATGTCAGTGATACCGATCCAGAATCCGTTCTCCCACCACTGACCACTGGTTTTCATATTTTGGATGTTGCTACTGATAAATTTCTGTGTAACCAAAAAGAAAAAAATCAGTACGTTTAAACATTTATTTAGCTTCAATTTTGTCTAAGCTCAGTCTTTCCTTTTATGATGCTGGATTTTATAAGTAATGAATTATAATGCATTTGTTGGCACTCTGCCTTCTGTAGAGCAGCAAAACCCATTTTGTTCTACATCTATGTTCTTCTCCTGATGTATCGTAGGGTGAATCTACCTCAGTTTGTGCCTAAATTTCTAAACCTTCCCAGTCAGCA